TGAGCACCCTGGGTACTCAGCCTGCCTGGGCCCTCTCTGCTGTGCCCACTCCCCCACTGATGGTCACAACCAGGGAAGAAGTGGCTTTGCCTGAGATGGTTGCTGGTGACCAGGGCAGCAGTGTGTCAGTTGTTACGGAGGGGCAGTCTCCAGCAGCTGACACCTATCCCAGGACTGTCGTGGCAGGTGGGTGCAGGCCCAGCTTTTGGGTTTCTTATGAAAGAACAGTCAAGTAGGGTCAGGGGTCATCAGGGCAGTGTTCTGGAAGGATTGCTTGTGCAAGAGCCTTGTTCAGGTACAGTTAGTGTGGGCTGTCAGCAGCCACAGCGGGGAGACGATCTGTACCCTGTTCCCAACCAGTGCTAAGCATAAGCCGCCAGGCCTCACTCCCTCTCCCTGGCCCTGGCCCTGTCCCACCCTGTGGCTGGGCGACAGGGTACATCCCAGGAGGGCCACACGTGTCAGCACGTCCTCCTCCGGAGCCAGAGGCACACTTCCTAGAGGAGCTGGAAGGAAGATTCCAGAGTCATCTTGAGATTGCACTTCCGGCAGCCATTTCCCATCTAAGTTGGTTCCTTCCTCTAGCAAGTAGGGGCCAGCACTTGGTCAGTGGTTGGGTCTCATGTGGAGGAGTCACCAAGTGTGCACTTGACACCCACAAGCCTGTGAGCCCAACACCCACAGTGGTTGACACATGGCAGCTATCACATGGACAGGGCGCTGCGTGCCACCTTCTGCGTCACAGCTGTGCACAGGGTGTGGCCTCTTTTCCCCATGTCCCCGCCCCCCCAACAGTGCCTCTTCTGGGCTAGCCCATGGGTCCCAGGTCACCCTAGTGATGGGAAGGGAGCCCAGCCCATAAACGGAAGCCTGAGCATTTCCTAGGTAGCCTGTTTCCCAATAAGAGGTGCCCCTCTTTCTAGAAGTTTCTTCCCTTACGTGCAAAATAAACCTGTGTCGGATTAACTCTTCACATTGAACTTATCCTCCTTGGATTCCCAAACACAAAGTGTAGTCTTAACAAGCTGTGTCTCTGAGGTCGAGCCCAGTTTCCTATAAACTCTGTGTTTTATCTCCTCGGAAACACACACGGTAATAGCATTCTCTGGAGATTATTAAATCAAACCGACTTGCAGCCACATTTGTTTGTGCTTTGCGGCCCTTGGCAAATTTTGGCAACAGATGGCTGTGTGTGATGCGGGCAGTGGCCGGCAGGCGCCACACTCAGCCCCACGGGTCCTGAGACTTCAGCACTCCAGCCCCATGGCCACCAGTTCCCTGGCATTCTGCAAACGCTGGGTGTCCTGAGTTCCTGCAGGGTTCTGGGCCTGGCTCCTGTTTGGTATTCTGTACACGCAAGGCAGGCTGAACTGAGGTTAAAGAAGAAAGGCAGACTTTGGTCAAAAGGGATGAAGCTTATCTTCTTTGTAATCCAGCACACAGAATCTGCTTTCCTTGGCCTGCGATTCACGTTCAATGGCGGGGCCAAGCTGTGGGGCACGGGCTCGGCAGCTGGCATCGTTTCATCACGCCTTCTGGAAGGTGCTGAGGTCCACCTGCCAGAAAGTGCCGGAAGCAGAGGGGAGGAAGTGCATTCCCATAGCCCCTGAGATGCCTGGCCGGAGCTGAGAAAGGGGAGGTTGCAGTGTCATGCTGAATGGGACAACCTCACTTGTGGCAGCAGCCTGGCTTTCTTTTTTTTTTCAAATGCAAACTTCAGATGCTTGTTAAAAAGGTCCTGGCGCTGTGGTGCAGCGTGTTAAACCAGTACCTGTGATGCGAGCATCTTGTATGAGCACTGGTTCAAGTCCCGGCTGCTTCATTTCTGATCCGGCTCCCTGCTAATGTTCCTAGGAAAACAATGGATAATAGCCCAAGAACTTGGGCCTCTGCAGCCCATGTGGGAGACCAGGATGGAATTCTTGTCTCCTGGCTTCAGCATGGGCCAGCTGTGGCCGCTGTGGCTATTCAGAGAGAGAATCAGTAAATGGAATCTTTCTCTTTAACTGCCTTTTAAATAAATAAATCCTTTTTTTAAAAAAAAAAATCCTCAAAACAGAGATCAGAGAAAGTTTCCCATCATTTGCCTGTAGTGTGTGAACAGAGCTGGCTGGGACCGTCTGCCATGCTGGTTTCCAGCCCCACAGTGGACAGGGGCTCAGGATGCGTTTATCAGGGAGGTGGGTCATCGGGCAAGTGTGTGGCAGAATGAGCAGGAAGAAGGCCAGGAGGGAGAGCAGCAGGGCTGCTTCCTGGCCAGCTCCATCTCTAGCCTGCTGTGTGTCTCATGCAAACTGCCCAGCCTCTCGTATCTTCTCACCTGGATGTCAATACCTGCATATGGGCTATTGGGAGCTCTGGCTCATTCATTCGCACAACAACCACCTGTTGGTCCTGCTTGCCAGGTGTGCCCAGCACTGCGAGGGAGGAGGAAACCTGCTCACCAGGGCCAGAGGTCGGGGTTTCCCAGGCACTGGGAGTTGAGAGGGGCCAAGGATGAGGCATGATTGCCATGGCGTGTGGCACAGAACAATGGCAGCTGGCCCCCTGCAGGGCGCTGGGAACATGGGGCAGGAGCTGCCAGGAGAGAGGGGCCAGTGGTGGGCAACCTCTGGGACTTGATTTTGATGTTCCGGGTCAAGGGGCGCCTCTGAGGGTCTGAGTCAGGAGAGGATGTGCACTCAGACCCATCTGACGGCTGCTGGAGTGAGAAGGGAGCCTGGGCCAGGGCTGGGGAGGACGACAGAGAGGCCTGCTCCTTGCATATCTCTATGCTTTGCTTTCTTTCTTTAAACATTTATTAATTTATTATCGGAAAGGCAGATTTTTCAGAGAGAGGAGAGATGGGAGAGAGGGCTTTTACCTGCTAGTTTGTACCCTAAGTGTCCACAACAGCTAGAGTTGAATTGATTCAAAGCTTGTGGCCAGGAACTGCCTCTAGGTCTACCACATGCGTGCAGGGGTTGAAAGACCTAAGCCATCCTTGGCTGCTTTCCCCAGCTATAAGCAGGAAGCTGGGTCAGAGGTGGAGCAGCTGGAACTAGAACTGGCGTCCATATGGGATGCCAGCGCAGCAGGCGGATGCTTAGCTTACTACGCCAGCTGCTGGCCCCACCTATGCTTTTGCACATGCTTTTCTCACCGCCTGGGCTGCGCTTCCTCCCTCTCTGCCTCAGCTGGCTGCCGCAGTCTCTGTGCACGACAGCCAGCCAGCAGACTGGTGTGTTCCTTCAAGAACCTTCCTGATCGTCTCCTGCTGGGACGACTTCACTGTAGTTTGGGGTGGGCCGGTTCCAGCTGAAAGATGAGTTTTGCTAACTTGAAGAGTGTCTGGAGGGAATTTAAATTAGCTGTGGATATTTACAAACAGGAAGGCTCATAGCAAAAGTCCAATTTCAGCTACCTCAGAATACTGGGAAGACAAAAGAAAAGGAGGGGATACTTGGCTTTTGAGTTCCTGCGTCTATACCGGAGATCCTCTACCTCTGCTCAGCTTCCTGCTGACACACACCCTGGGAGGCAGCAGGCTGGGGGACTCCAACCTCGGGGTCCCTGCCACCCTTGGGGGAGACCTGGATCCAATTCTAGGTTCTGGCGTCACCCAGCCCTTTCGCTGAGAGCATCTTGAGGTATGAATCAGTGGATGGGAGATCTCTGTTGGACAGTCCCTTTCATTTCCAAGAAAATGAACAACAACAACAAAACAGTGGTTACATGGTAACCACTCAGTGAAGGCAGAACATGCCTTTCTCTACCCCGGGGGAACGGGCTTGCCAGTTGTGCCCCAGTCCCCACCACTCCCTCTTGTCTACAACACTGAGGATGAGCGCCAACTCCTGCTTACCACCTCATTTGCACTATTGCTTTCCATATAGGAGAGGGGGACGTATGATGATTCTTGTCCTTGTGTCCATCACTGACAGAGGACGTGGGGTTGCCTGAGAGACCCCCTGTATTCTTCACTCACTGGGTTACCTGCGGGATCCAGCTGACTTTCCCCTGCATTTGCCTTTGGTCAAGTCCGTCACCACAGTGCATATGTTGCAGGGGCACCCATTGTGACCTGAAGCAGAGTCAAAGTGCAGAGCATTTGGCTAACCTAACCCACAGCAGCACAGTGCTATTTCCCCTCAGGATGGCAGGGTTGATGGTGGACTGTGGCTCCCACCGCCGCCCAGCATCACAGGAGAAGGAATGTGCCGCGTGTGTCGCCAGCCCGGGAAGAGATCCAGACTCCCAACTCCAAGTATGGTTTGTTAGCGGATGTCTGTCACGTTTGCAGCAAAGTCAAGTCCAAAACTTGTGCGTTGAGCTGCGAGACCATCTGCACATGACATTCCTGCATCTCCTTGCCTGTTCGGCTTTTGGACAAGGAGTTCCTCCAGAGTACGCCTCAAGTTCATCATGTGCGCAACCATGTGCGGGTGCGTGGCAGGAAGGTGGTGATACAAATGAACACACACAAGACAGTCTGCAGGAAGACGGCCGGGGGCCTGGGACAGTCACACGAGGGGAGATACTCAAAAGGCGGGATGAAACAAGAGGTGCCAGAGGAAGCCGGGGCTCAGGGCCACGGGACAGACGTTTCCATCACTCCCACACCCCACGTCAATCCCAAGACTGCATGCCTGAGAGCTATTTGGACCTGCAGACCCTCAGGCCCTGTCTAACACCTGCTGGACTGGAGTGATGACTCAAGAGATTGGGTCTGGGGTCTCCAGGACAGGTTCAGATTCTCTGACACTTGCTGGCTGCATGACCTGGGGTATGTTCTGTGACCTCTCCAGGTCTAGATTTCCTTATTTGTATTATTGAATCAGCTATACTCTTAGTGAGCTTTCAAACACCCAGTGTGAAGCTCCCCACTGCTTCCTGCCAAGCAGGCTCTGGCTGCACCTGCCAGAGCAAGTGGCCAGGCCTCCTGGTGCCCAATTTTTTGCAACTTGAGGTATCAGCCTCCCAGGGCCCAGACTGGGATTCAGAGCTGGCTGGTTACTTACACCATCCGCTGTCCAGTAATTCCAGACCTTGACCTTGGCCAGCCCGAAATCGCACAGCTGCCTTGTGTTGCGGATGACAAACATGAGCTGGAGCGGTGGGTGGAAGGGGCAGATCCACGGGGAGGCATCCTGCGTGTTCTGAAAGGCCAACAAGAGAGGACAGTCAGTACGCATATTCCCACCGCTCACCCCGAAACAGGAAAACAGCAGGGACCACTGGGCTGGTGGAAACCAGGGGTGGGCCAGTGTGGCAGGCCAGGCCATCTTTGCTACCTAGTACAGGAAGGGGACTTGGGTCTCACCCATCAGGACTGCACCTCGTAGCACGCTAAGGACCCTGTGCCCCGCCACACTGCACATGGCCCCGCTTTGATCTGCCAGCCGGCGGGAGCTGAGAAAGCAGCTGGCTTGATTTTAATCAACTTAATCGGCTTGGAGAAGCATGGTGGGGGAGGGGAGAAATGCTGGGGAGAGGGGTGGGCAGAGGCTCCCCCCCGCCCGACGCACACAACCCCACGCACACAACCCTGGTGCTGTTTGATTAACCCGGCTGACACAGCCATTTGATTTGCTTTTGTGAAATTCCGTTGGGTTTTCTAACATTGAAAAACAGAAAAGAAAGTAGCATAGGCCCTTGTTCAGACGGGCTCACAGCACTGAGCCTTGGGGTTTATTTTGCTCCCTTTCAGGGAGTTTCCAAGCCTGGGGGTTTCAGTCTGCAGTTTACACGCTGCCCTCCTGCCTTCCCCCACCGCCCAGGGTGAATGGAAGCCAAGGCTACTGGTTGAAAACAGCAAGGGCAGAAGGGCAGCAGGCCTCCATGTTATTTCCACTCCCACTGATCACACTTAATGCCAGAAGCGCTTTGGAGAAAAGACAAATTGGGGGGGGGGGTCTTCTCAGCTCCAGTCACCTCCTCCCTTCTCTTTCTAGATACCACGGGGCACCTTTCTGGGCTTCACGGGGACAAACCAATGGCGGTTCCCGAGTATGTTCATGTCAGCTCAACCACAGGGCTCGCCCTCTGTTCTTCCTGCCCGGGCATTTCAGCTACAGGATGATGCACGGTCACTCCTGACACAGTGACCATGACCTCCACCCGCCTTCAGCTCCTTGCAATGCCTGAAGTAAATGTTTGAGTCCCACAATGCCCTGTCTCCCCAGGGACCTCTCTTTAGGGAGTGGGCCCCTTGGGGAAGGGCTCGCCTGTGTGTTAGGGTTCATTCCAGAACCTCCGTGTTCATCACAGGTCCTTGCCATGTGAGAAAGGATGGTGAGAGCTTGGGGGATGAAGAAATGATGGAATGAGAGGGCGGATAAAATGCACCTCCTGGTAGCTGTCTTCTTACTTATTTTCTGCATCTATCTGAGAGACAGAGAGCGAAGAGAAGAGAGAGGGTGAGAGCAAGCTCAAGCTCTCCGTAGATGGTTCACTTCCCAGATGCCTGGAGGAGGCAGGGTTGGGCCAGATGTAAGCCAGGAGCCAGGAGCCAGGAGCCAGGAATCCAATCCAGGGCTCCTATTTGGATGGCAGAGATCCAGGCACCAGAGCCATCGGCGTCCGACTCTGGCTGTGTGCGAGCCAGATGCTGGAATGGAGCGGGGAGCTGGGACCGAAACCCAGGCAGGAGCTCTGATCTGTTGGAGGCACTTCAGGCAATGGCTTCACTTGCTGTCCCAAATGCCCATCCCGGTCTTCAAATGACAACCAGCAGCTGCCAGGTATGCAAAAGCATTTTGTCTGTCTTAGGAGTTTTTCTTGTTAAAGACAAATCTGTTACTAACACTTACCAGGAGGGAAGTTTCCCTAAGAGCCAGCTTTCTGGCTTTTCTAGGCACTCGGGAGCCCACAGTGGCTCAAGATGCCTTGGAGCCAGTGTGCTACCACTAGAGGCCACGGCAGCCCTGTAGTCTCCACCACTCCCTACTGTCTTACTTTTCCTCCACATGTGCCCCGTTTGGCCCCTGCTTGGGGACCTGTAGCAGGTCCCATCTGGGGCCAACGAGCACCCCTTGAGTGTCTGCCACGGGTTGAGTAGCAGGAGCCTCACTCAGCATCTGAGAACATCAGAACCAGCTCCCGTGCCTGTGAGTGGACGGACACAGGGCAAGGGGATGGGAGGCCCAGGCTCCAGCTGCCAGGGAGGACAAAGGGGGCCTGTTGTGACCACCAATGGTGCCTTTCAGGAGGGAAGAGGTGGCTTTTGTCAAGGGGGAAGAGACGAGTTCAAGGGGTTCTGATTTGTTCCGGCGGGGCCTTCAAGCCTCAGGCTCCCGAGGGAACTTGGAGTGCTCTGGGCAGCTGCCAGGAATGGGGTGGAGAGAGCACAGTGCCCGATGTAGGCCTGTGGCTCCCTTCCCCCACTTCCTAGCTGCACTGGGGCCGCACACAGGTCATCATGGCTGCTTGACAAAGGCAGAGAGGACAGTCTGGTCCTTTGACACAGGCGAAGGGGCTGTCACTAATTTCCCTTCCCATCACTGTCAGTGGGGGCCAAGGGGCAGTGAACATGGGGTGATGGTTGTGTGGGTAGTGGGGAGTCCACATCAGAATCATGGAGTTCAAAATTACAGGGCATTAACCTGTGCCAGGCTTGAGGCCTCATAAGCGGCCAGGCCTTCTGATGTTTTCCTTCGCAAAGAGACAGCAGAGGGCAAAGCCCCAGGTGCCAGGCTAGCAGACAGGGCATCTTGAGGTGCCCTCCCCTCAACTCTGCAGGTAGCTAATACCCTTGGTGCTTTCTCTCTGAATTGGGAGGTGGGCATGGGTTGGCTCAAGGTTGCCCAAGATGGCGGAGTGAGTCTTCATTCATGAATTCATTCTGGCTCCATTTGTATTTCCCCAGGAGCAGACCCTGGGGCCAGCATTCAGAGGTGAGTAGTTTATTTGGACAGCGCAGAAGGATAGGCAGCTGAGTGAAGAAGCCAGATGTTGGAAAGTCAGCTCATGACACGTGTGTGGAGAGGTCAGCCGCTCCGGTGGGCAGTGAGGCTCAGGCCCACGAGGTTCAGGAGCAAGTCCACTGCGGCCCAAGGGAGCCATGGGTGCTAATACCTCAGTCCCCATCAGTGCATCCTGAGGGTTGCTCCTGGGGTTCTGCCCACCCATCATTGCTCTTCCCCCTCCCCCTGGTGTGGGCTTTTGCATGCAAGGCAAGTTGACCAGCCCAGAAGTTCCCAGCAGAGGAAAGGGAGTAGCAGGGGGGAGGAAGCACAGGGGCTTGACTATGTGTCATCAGTGGATTACCATCACGATCTTCACTGTCACCAATCTCTCTTTCCAAATGCTTCACCACCCTCACGAAGACCATGTCTCCATGAGTATCTCCATGAGTGGTCACCCTCTGCTCCGGGTCCTGCCAATCTATCTCTGGATTTGCCAGCCCTGGACATTGCTTATCAATGCAATCATCCCACCCTGGACAGCGTCCTGCGTCTGAGTTCGCTCTGCCTCATGCATTGCAGACTCATCCAAGTTGTAACATGTATCACAGCTTCACCTCCTTTTTTATGGCTGGATACTATCTCATCGCATGGGCATACCTCATTTTATTCATCCATTCAACGGATGATGGACATGAGGGTTGTTTACATCTTGTGGCTATTGGGAAGGCTACCATGAGCACTCAAGTTCAAGCTTTTCAAATTCATATCCATGCTGTCATTCCTCTTGGGTGAAGGTCTGGGTGAGGAACTTTTACGAACATAAAGGTAATGCCACAGTGCACTTTCGTAAGGAAGTTCCCAAGTGTGTTTCATGGTGGCTGTATCTCTAAACTTCTACATATCCGGTAGTAGGGCGTGAGGGTTCCGAGCTCTCCATATGTTCCCTAACACCTGTTCTTTTCTATTTTCTTTCTTTTTTTGTAAAGGTTGATGGCCCTCATTGTGGGTGTTAAGTACAATATGGATTTGCATTTCCCTCATGATGAATACTGTTGAACATCTTTATATGCGCTTATTGGCATTAACTCATCTTCTTGGAGAAATGTCTATTAGAAGTCCTTGAGCTGCATTCTAATTGCATGGATTGCTTTTTGTTATTGTTGATTTAAGAGTCAATTATGTATTCTGGATACCAGACTTATCAGACATTATTTGTCAATATTTAATTTTCTCAGTTTGTAGTTCTCATTTTACCTTCTTGGTAGCACTTCTAAAGCAAGAGACAGAGAGCGAAAAATCTTCCATCTGTTGGTTTGTTCCCCAAATGGCCACAATGGTCAGAGATGAACCAATCCAAAGCCAGGAACCACAAGCTTCTTCAAGGTCCCCTATGTGAGTGTCGGGTCCCAAGGCTTTGGGCCATCCTCCACTGCTTTCCCAGGCCATAAGCAAGCAGCTGGATGGAAAGTGGAGCAGCCAGGATACGAGCTAGTTGAGCCATCATGTTGGCCCCCTTACATTTTGATTTATCAAAGTTTTCCTTTTTGTTGCATGTGCTTTGGATGTCATATTTGATGGGACTCCATTGACAAATTGAAGACTCTGAAGATTTATAACTACATGCTCCTACAAGATGCTTTATAATTTTAGTTCTTATAGTTCAAAGTAGGAGCATAACTTCATTTCTTTGGTGTGGAAATATATTTATCCCAGTAGCACATGCTGAAAAGATCATGGTTTCCCCCAACAAATGGTCTTGACATTGTCGTCAGATTCAACTGTAGATGCAGGAGCTCGGTCCTGAATCTTAGGATTAGTCCCTTGATCCACCCGAGTATCTATGTCAGAACCATGCAATTTTGATGACTGTAGTTTGGTAGTATGCTTTGAGAATTAAGCAGTGTGAGTTCTTCAATTCTATTCTTCCTTTTCCTGACCAAAAAAAAAAAAAAAAAAAAGAGGAGCTGGAGATCTGATAGGATGCAATGAATATGTAGATTGGTTTGGGGTCCCCGTGAACACAAACACCATTGCATACCTTTGGGTCTTTAATTTCTGTCGACAATACTCAGCACTTATCAGGATTTATATGCGATGCTTCTTTGATGAAATGTATTCCTATTTTATTTCTTTCGATAACTATTACGAAAGGAATTGCTCCCTGAATTTTCTTTTTAGATGTTATTACTAGAGTATAGAGGTACAATTAATTTTTATATGTTGATTTCTTATCTTGTAACCTTGAGGAATTCAGTTTCAGTTTCACGGAGGTATTGTTCTTTCTTTCTTTATTTTGTGGATACTTTAGGCTTTTCTATATATTCATATTAACTGTGAATGTAGTTTTACATCTTTTGTAACTTGTTATATTCTTGTTTAACGGCCCACGGTAGAACTTCAGGTCCACTGTTAAAGAGGAAGAATGGTTGCAGATCTTCTGGTCTCATTCCTGATCATTTCGGGATGATGTCCAGTCTTTCACCAATAAAGCGTGATGTCAACTGTGGGGGCTTCAGATGCGTCCTTCATGAAAGGTGGAAGTTGAGGCTAAGGATGCCCTCGGCTCTCCTCTCCCCTTTCCTCTCTTCCCCGCTTGCCCTCTCCTCCTCACCTCTCCTTTCTTCTGTTTCTTAATGTCTTCTCTTTCTAAGCCATGAAAGATTGCTGGGTGTTTTCAAATGCCTTGTCTACACCTACGGGGTATCACGTGGTTACTGTGCTGTACGTAGTACACTCTTTGATGTTGTACCAACTCTACACTATTGGTACAAATTCTGCTTGGCCTTGATGTATAATTCTTCTTATGAACTGCCAGAATTGATTTGTTAGTGCTTTGTTCGGAGTGTTTACAATGAATCTCGTAAGATACTGGTTTGCAGTTGCCCTTCTTGCAATGTCTTTGGTTTTGAGATCAAGGTGATACTCTGGGCTCACAGAAAAGTGTAGCCTCATTTTAGAAGAGTTTACAAAGGACTGGTGTGGTGCTAATTCTTTTTTAAAAAAATATTTTATTTACTTTAAAGTCAGAATGACATGGAGAGAGATCTGTCATTCTCTGGTTCATGTCCCTTGTGTAATAGACAAGGCTGGGCCAGGCTGAAGTCAGCAGTCAGGAACTCCTTCTTGGTCTCCCACATGAGTGGCAGAGACCCAAGGATTTTTACCATCATCCACTTCCTTCCCAGGCACACAAGCAGAAAGAAAGCTAGACTGGAAATACAACAGCTGGGACTTGAACCAGCATTCAATAGGGACACCTGTGTCCCAAGCATCAGCTTAGCTCACGGAATCATCATGTTGGCCCTGACTGGAGTTAACTCCTTAAACGTCTGATAGAACTCACCAGTGAAGCCATCTGGTCCTGGCATTGTCTTTGTGGGCAGCATTTCTGATGATGAACGGTCTCTTCATTTGCTGTAGGTTTATTCTGAATTTCTACTTCTTCTTGAGTCAGTTTTGGTCATTTGTACCTTTCTGGGAGTCTTTCTGTTTTACCTAGATTATCTAGTTTGTTGACATACACATATCATAAGTCTCTGATCATTCTTTTTATTTCTATAATGTCAGTAGTAGCATCCTGATTTTATGCAGTTGAAATTTTTTTCTTCCTAAGTTCAACTAAAGATTTGTCAATTTTGCTGATCCTTCAATAATTAGCTTCACTTTCACTGATTTTATGTATTATCTGGACTACTTTTACAATTTCCTGGGGATCTATAATTATTTCCAAAGAAACAGTATAAAAAAATGGCATGAATGTGGCATTTCTGTATGTCATGGGGATATAATAGGAACAGGACAAAGAAAAGCTTACACTCTCAGCAGAGGAAACTTGTGTACATGTGTTCTGATGAAAATTAGAAATGACAGCCTGACACTGACCACAGGGGAGGGGACTGGACGCTTCCAGGAGTCAGGGAAGGCTGTGCGGAGAAAGTGGTATCTGGGCTGAGGTCTGAAGGTTAAGATGACACTTGGAAACCTGGAAGAAAGACCTTCTGGGGAGGTGGTAATGAACTTGGCAGGTCAGAGGAGCAGAAGGCAGGCCCGTGGCTGCTGGAGCCCTGCTGTGGCTGCTGGAGCCCCGTGTGCCAGGCGGCGGCGGTCAGAGGAGTGCAGACAGGAAGGAGCGGGCCTGCTCACAGAAGGGGCACCTGGTCTTGCACTCCTCCGTGCCATGGGAGGCTTTGGCAGAGCTTTTCAGGAGCGGGGAGCAGGACAATCTGACATCACTAGAAGGTCACCTTGGATACAACCAGGAAAGTGCAGTGGGTAGCATGAGAAGAAGAGGATAAGAAATAGAGTGTTTACTAATCCACGTGAGAGGGAACCCGAGGTGACTGGACTTGAGTCGGCCACAGAAGCAGAGAGAAGGGATCGGATTCAGGCTCCATCCAGGAGGATGGCAGGGAGAGCATCCTACGCACACTCTGTCCCAGCACAGAAAAGCTTGTGCAACACAAACTTGTTAACTTTTTCTTTGGACATAATTTTCTATGATGTCTAAGGTGGTTGTCTGGGGGGCGGCTGAGCAGACAGTGAGTTGCTGAGGTAAGACCCCTCCCGGAGGAAGACACAGGTGGGTGGTGGACAGTGGGACTCCAACTCCGGTTTTAGATCTCTGAGGGCTGGGCAGTCAGGCAGGGGAATCCAAGGAGCAGGAGGGGCTGGGTCAGCTTGGGTGGCAGGGTGGGGGTGGGCCTGGAAGGAGGAAGGTTTGCATAAGCACACAAACACCTGCTCTTCTGCACCCCGCCTCCACTCCCAGGTGACTTAGCTCAGCTGTCAGACGGACCCAGCAGCCAACGCTGCACCGCTGGGGTTTTAGGTCATGGGATTGGGGTTCCTTGGGGATGAAATGGGGATGAATCATGCCAGTGGATCTGGAAGGTTTTGATGGGTTCTGTGTCCTGGGAGCCCCAGGCCTGGAACACAGGGAGAAGGCACACAGGCCCGGAGGCCCATCAGCCCAGGATGACAGCTGCTCAGGTCCCAGCCTCAGCCCTAGCTTTCTGCACAGATCACATAGGTCTGCAGCTCAGGGGCAACCCCCAGGGGCTTACAGACTCCAACTGGGAGGCAAAGAAGGGCTGTGCAGGCCACAGCAGCCAAACTGCAATCCAATGACCCAATAGGACCTGTGTCTCTCAAGGGTGGGACAGTCCTGGGGCTGCTGAACTGGAAGCTGACTGTGTCCCCCCAGTCTGAGCATGGGCACAGATGTTTCTCACCTGCATCCTGTTTCCCATGGGCCTGTCATCTCCTGACCCTCAGGGATGTCTTTAGGATGAATTTCTTCCTGCACTGCCCTTCCGGGGAGTCTATAACTGGCATCCAGGGGCCGTGCCCTCTGGTGGCAAGGGTGGGCCAGGACTGTTCCTCTTTGGGAACTGAGCAGGACAAACTGATCAAGCAAGCAACCAACGAATCAACCAACCAACCAACCAACCAACCAACCAATTAACCAACCAAGAAGCAGATTCTGTCCCCTCTCCAACAAAGATCAGTCCCAATGTGTCTCAGATTCCTGAGACCATCTAGGAACTCCAAGATGCCCGCAAGGCCTGTCCTTTTCTGGGCTGGGCCACAAACACTTGAAATACCTCCCTTTCTTTCTTCTCTCCCCCACTCCCTCCCTCCGTATGTCAGGTGCCAAACAAAGGGAGCCGGTTCCGAGCTCCTGCCATCCCCAGGAGTCTAAGAGCTGTGGCAAATGTTCTACCTTTGTCTCCCAACCGTCCACAGACTCAAGACCAGTACCTGGCTCACCGGCACTGGGCAGGGGTGTCACAGACTTCTCCTCTCATTTCTTCTACTTTATAATGCAGTGAGGAATATGTCCTCCTTAATAGAATTACTGATGATGAGTGAGAACAGCCAACAGCTGGCTTCTTTGGCGCCCCGAGGGAGTGCTGGCCATGATGTGGAGCTCTTGATGTTCACATTTGAGCCATACGTGTTGTAAGGATCACTTTTTTTCTCCCGTGGGGTATCCATTTTACAGATGCAGAAACTACAGTCAGGTAAGCTGCTGGGGTCCGAAAGCTGTGTGCGCTCAAACTTTGGACCCAGGTTCTTCTGCAGCCCACACAGTGAGGTCTGAAGCAGCTCTCTATACACCCTGTCTGCTTCAGTGCCTGAACAGGTGTATTCTTGGTAAAATAATAATAACAACAACCCTTTGCTCTCTGGAATAGACAATACACGGACGTGGCAGAAAACAGCATCTGAAAAACAGACTTCCCGTCGCCCTGGGCCCCAGTCACCAGCCCTGGACCTGGAGGTACTCAAGTTCCCAGTTCCCTAGAAACGCTCCTTAAGACCATTATGAGTGACACTGAAGGACTGCCCAGCACACGCCACCTGTGTCCTGTTCTGCAAGTGGTGGGCAAGGCAAATGCCCAGGTCTTTAAAAACATTAGCTAACTTAAAGGAAAAGGTTGGTGCTGCGGGAGGGAGGCAGGAGTCTGAGATGGTGTGGCTCAGGCTGCAGGATGACTATGAACTTGGCCTGTGTGAACTAGCTCCCCCAGGAAAGCCACACAGAACAGAAATCTCTGGGAGAGAGCTTGGGGATGGGAGGCTGGGAGGGAGGCCTGGGGGCCCTGGGCTCCCGCCAGCTATCCTAAGGAATGGCTAGGGAGGCTTGCCATACACTTCCCTGTGCTGCGACCCCAGTGAGCCTGTGTGTGTGCCACTTACAGCCAGGTTCCTGTTGACGAGGTGGCCCAGCTCCCCCGGCGTGGCCATGTGACAGATGTCCACGTCGTGGGGCGACACATACAGCTTTGTGTTGTTCTGGTCGAAGAACTCCACCTCGGTGAGACCCACCCACAGCGCGCTGCCCCAGTTGGACAGGATCTCCATAGTCACATGCACAGCGTCTCTGATCTCCGCTCTCCTGCCACACTGGTCCTTAAAGGAGAGGAACAGCAGAACAGAGGATGAAAACACAGCAGGCTCGACATCAGCTCACTGCAACCTGACAGCTCGGGGCTCGGTTTCTCCAACTATATCAGGAGGGGCAGAGTGGCACCCTGTGCTTATCAGGAACTGCGAATCAATTCTGTATTTCATGCAGTTCTTGGACACCCTGGCACTCAGCAAGTTTTCTGCTGAAGAGTTTGCCAATAGAAATGTTTACAAAGCATCAAGTTTTGCCTGACCGTGAACTTCCCACTGCCCCATGGTCATGTCCTGAGGAAAGCCTTCACTGCTGCCCAGCTGGGCGAGTTGTATGCCCCCAAATCCATCTGTAAAAACCCCATCCCAGCATGTGGCTGGCATTGTGCTATAGAAGGCTAAGTCTCCATTTGTATCATCGGCATCCCATATGGATGCAGCAGTCCCGGCTGTTCCACTTCCCATCCAACTCCCCTGCTTGTGGCCTGGGAAAACAGCAGAGAATAGCTCAAGTCCTTGGACCCCCTTCTCACATATGGAAAACCCAGAGAAAGCTCCTGGCTCCTGGCTTCGGATCGGCTCAGCTTTGACTATTACTGCCATTAGGAGAATGAACCAATGGATGGAAGAACTCTGTTTCTCCTCTCTGTCAAATGTGCCTTTCAAATAAAAATAAATCTTTAAAAAAGTAATGCAAAGTCTCATAATGTGACTGTTATTTGGAGACAAAGCTTTAAGAGAGGTGATTCAATTAAAATGAATTGCCAGGGGTGGGCCCTCATCTAATCTGACAGCTGTCCTTACAAGACACCATTTGCACATGGTGGACCTGTCACTGCTGTGCATTAGGGGCAGGTGTTTGCCTTAGCAGCTAAGATGCCATTAGGGATGCATGCATTTTGGAACTCCTGGGTTCGAGTCCTGTCTCTGCTGCCTCTTCCTCCAGCTTCTTGCTGATGTGTGCCCAGAGAAGCATCAGCGGCTGGTGTAAGTAGCTAGGTTCCTGCTGCCCGTGTGGCAAGGCCTGGACTGAGTTCCATGCTTCTAAGTTTTGGCCTAGTCCAACTGAGCGACTGTGGACTGTGGGCAGTTGGAAGGAGCACCAGTGGATGGAAGTGTTTTTGTTGTTGTTGTTGTTTTGTTTTTGTTTTGTTTTGTTTTGTTTTTGTCTCTTTGCTTCTCAAATCACTGAAAGTTACACAAGTTACCAGTAAGATCACTTGTGGCTACAGTGAGAACATTGCCAAGAACAAGAACAAGCCAAGGAGAGCAGCCTCAGAAGGAGAGCAACCCAGCCAGCACCTCAACCTTAGTCTTGCGGAAAACATGCTGGTGGTGGTGTGTGACAAGGGCCCCACTGCCTTGGATGGGTCTCTGCATCTTCAGCCTGATAGGAAGATGGGATTGACGTCACTCCTGTGAAGGCCCCCCTGCTATGCACGTTCAGCAAGGGCCGAGCCCCGGACCTGCCTGAGCAGTTTCAGTGTCTGGTTCTTTCTGATTCTCTTCTTTGCTGATTTGAATGCCCGCTGCCTTCCAGGCAGGCTCTGTGGCCAGAGGGTACGTGAAGGCCATTGATGAGTGGCAGCCATGCCAAATGGCTTCTGGGGGCCTCCGGGGCCCGGGTGCAGTGTGCTGGTCGCCATGGATCAGTCACTCATAAAATGGTGCCTACCCTGCGTGCACCTGCCCTGTTAATTAGCCCTGGTAATCTGCAATGGTTCTGTGAGCATGGGAGCTGGGCAAATGCAGAGCGACTGCTCCCCACTTATTTTTGTAATTAATAGCCAGTGAGACGTGCTATCGCTCTCAGCGTGTGTGTGAGCATGTGCACGAGCCTGGAACAGCACGTCATGGGGACGGGGTGGGGACAGCTAGGTCAGCTCAGCACTCCCAGAAGGAACGTGGTGGGAGATGAAGTTTGGATGAACTTGCCTGGCGGAATCCACAGCTTTCTTTCTGCTTGTCACCTTTCTCTGGTTGCACAGGGTCTTAGCCAAGTCTGCTGCTTTGGGCTCGAGTCCCAGGCAGACTGGCTGGTGACGAACCTACACATGCCTGGGTGACTTTGGGGAGATGGAAGAGTTCATGAGTTTGTGCTTGCAGGCACGCTCCAGGGCCAGGTGAGTGGTCTGGGTGGTGTAGAGGAATGGCAGTGCCAGGCACCTTGCATGCTGCAGGTAGCAGAGAGGTCAAAGGTCAGGAGGGCTGCCCTGCAAGGGGTGCTGTGGGGTCTGCTGCAGTTTAATGTCATGATTTGTGACAGGACTGCCTCCTGCTTTCTATACTGCCTGCCTCAGGTCCCTCCTGGGAGTCTGAAAGCAACGTAGGGAGGGAAGCTCTTGGCATTTGCCCTCCCCTTCCTCCTCAAGACCACCTGAGTTCTCTGTGGGAAAGCCCTTCCTCCTGTATTCTCAGCCATGACACACAGGGACACCAATCTCTTCCCACTCTGAGAAGGAGCCTGGTTGGCACAGGGCATCCTGTGGGTACATCCCCTGGGCCACCAGGAGGGCATAGCTCAGTGATGGTCCCAGTCTCAGCTTTGTGTGGGTGGGAGCCACACAACTGGAATCGGGGGTAGGAGGGCAGTCTAAGAGTCTCAGAGCAAAGGCTCCTTCCACTCACTCTTAGGCCCCGAGGAGACAGCAGAACTGAGACTGGCACAGTGGGGCACAGAGCTCTGGGGTGCAGCTGATGCTGTGGGGACAGGGCTGGAGACGTCTCGTGTGAGCTGCCAGATCCAGTCCCATCTGGAGGACTGGCAGCAATGCACGTTTGTCATTTGTCTTCTCTTTGTTGCCCAAGTCACTTGGCCCTGCATGTTCTGTCTCCTGTGATGCAAAGAGGCAGAAACAATCCAGGCTCTTTTTTCATGGGGCTAGAGCTGCACCACACTCAAGACTCCATGGTTGAGTGAGCAACATGTGCCAGCTGCGTGAGAACAAAGCTTTGACTTCAGACACTGTCACCAGCTCCTCCCTGGCCGGAGCCAGACAGACCCTCCCTGACTCACCCTCATGGAGCCCGGTGGAAATGTGGATGACCCCCCGTTGGACGCTCACAGACTCTAAGCAAGGTCGCATGAGCTCTATGCCCACGGCTTTGACTTGGCCTAGCCCTTGGTTGTTGCAGGCATCTAGGGAGTGATTCAGTGAACAGAAGGTCGCTGTTTCTCTCTCCTTCTGTCACCTTGCCTTTCAAATAAATACGTCTTATAAGAAGGAAGAGAGAGAGCCTAGTCATGGTACCACCTGGCCACCACTGCCTGCCTTTTGTAGTGGGCGGCCCGCCCCGTCAACGCTCGGCTGTGTCGTTGCACGGCAGATACAATCACATTGGACTTGATGAAGACTGACGCTGCCTTCTACACTGAACTTCACATTCTTCATATTTCTAATCTGCGTAATCTTCGCGGTGACAGCCTCGCCGCCTTTTATACCACTGCATTGTGCTGACATCTCATACTTTGCCCATTAACTCCATTATTATGAGACATTTAGGTTCCTTCTATTTTTTTTTTCCTCCCGTCCCTTATTTCAAACCCGTACTTTCTAATAATTCTGCAGCAGGCATCATTGAGCCTATAGCTTTTTATTTCTGCCAAGTGATTTCCCTGGGATAAGAAACCCAAGGGGGCATGCGTGGGGCGGGGGCAGGGGGTTAGTGGTGGCCGGGCTGGAAGCCTTGAATATTTCCATTTACAAGCCCTTCATCTGTTTACACTGCCACCAGCAAGGTGCAGCAGCAGCCACAGCTTTGCTGCAACCTTGCCAGTGCTCAAGGTTATCATCAGAAATCATTTGTTAACTTTGATTCCAAGCGGGACATTGGGGCTGCTTTACTTTGCATTTCTTGATGACTAGCACTGCTGGGCCTTTCCCGATGGGCTTCTATTTATATTTCTCTCCAGAAACTTCTGGCCCACATCTTTCTGTCCCAGCTTCCAGTGCTCTAGATGTGTTTGGTCTGTGTGCTAAGGGAGAGGCAGAACTGGAGACAAAGGCAGAAATATGCTAAGCTAACCACTGTGGGAGCCACCCCGCTAAGCAGTGGTGAGTATTAAGTGGGCCCCTTCCACTCCTGGCTCTAAGGCAAAACCTGGAGTGTGCCTGAATAAACAAAAATGCGTAAGTCAAGGCTCTCACCTCCGGGTCTAGTACTTGCTCCTGGGTCAGTGATGCTGCCACCTCACTGAAATGCACACGATCACTTTCCATGGCCTGCAGTGTTTCTGGAAGCTTCAGCTGCTGTCTGAAATGGGATTTTGGTTTAGCAAGCAGGCGGTAACAAATGATAAGCAAAAGACAAGGCTGCCCATCAAAGGGCTCCCTGATGGTTTTTCCACCTCCAGAGAGAAGCAACAGTGTGAGAAGAAAGATTGCACCCTGCCTTTGGTTCAAAGGGACAAGCAGGCATACAGGCGGGAGGGTCCGCTTGTCCCTTTGTCGACAGCTGGACAATTAGCAATGAAATCAGAGCCCAGCTGGAGAGGAACTGCTGGGGGGCCACACAGCCAGCTGACCTGCGAGAGCTCACTGAGCAGAGGTTGGCTGTAGTGTGGCCTGCAAGACAAATGCGGCCCCTGGCCTGCTTTCAACTATGTATTGATTTGGATTTCTTACAAAGGCAGACACACACACACACACACACACACACACACACACAGAGACAGAGACAGAGAGATGCAGGGTGGGAGCATCAGAGAGTGTTTCTAACTGTTGATTCATTCCCCAAATGTCCATAGGAGCTGCAGCTGGGCCAGGCAGAAGTCAGGCACTCAGAAATCCATCAGGGTCTCCTAAGTGCTTGGGAAGTGACTCAAGTGCTTGCTGCCTCCGGGGAGGAGGGCACACATCAAGCAGGAAGCTGGAGTAAGAAGTGGAGGTGGGACTTGAACCCTGGCGCTCTGATAAGGGATGTGGGCGTTATGAGCAGAATACGAAGTGACTACTCAGCCAATGTCCACCTTTTTCTGCAGGACCTTCGAACCAAAGCTGGCCTTTCTGCTTTTTAATTGTTGTTAGGACAAACAAGTGAAGAGCAAAAATTACTGCAAAGCCGTTAAGCCTTTGCTATCTGGTCTTTTCTAGCAACAATTTGCTGCCCACTGGCCTCTAGATCTGCTGTGCTTATCTCATTTCCAAGCAAGCATAGGGGGACTGCAAACCAAGGAGGATGCACCTCTGCTGGTCACAGGCTCCCCTTCCATGGGCCTGCCCAAAGCCCAAGAACCGCAGGGCCTGAGGCCGTTATCAGATAGTATCTAGCCCAGGTCTTCAAGGTGCAGGGCAGACTACCCATGTTCTCACTGAAGGCACTCATTTGGGAGAGGAGCCAGTCCTGCAGGGCACACATCTCGGCTGGACAACCCCTCCTTCTTACAGTGTGGGAAAGCTCTGTCCCTTTCTGTGCTGATAAAGCTCCAGGTATGATGGGTGCACAGGCTGGATTGGGGGTGCATTCGCCTCTCAGTCAGGCACACTGCACAGTCCCTACAGCACACAGCTCTCTGCACCGGTGGCCCTGGATGTAGGTGTGTGTGCCAAGGCACAGTGGGAGACTCTAGGCTTGAGCTGGCTCAGCTGCTCAAGATGGATTTTTGCCTGTGGACCAGAGGGAAGCTTTGATTTTGATGGTAAAACTTGACCGGTGCAATGACTGATGCTGTGTGCGCAGGGAATGGGTGCAGAGCCTGAAGGGGTGTTCACAGAGAGTCAGAGCTGTGAAGGGTGCTGCTGCACGCCCCCTGCCCCTTCACACCCCAGCCAGCTGGGGAATAAATCCCCCACTCTGGGCTGCTTGAGGGGGGCTGTCAGTGGAAACCTCAAGAAGGAAGGACTGAGACCCGAACGGAATAATCCAAGAGCCAATTTGCCAGAAAGAAATTGAGCAAATTTTGTGCTTGAGGGCTAAAAGAGATGAGGGAGGGAGGGAGGGAGGAGAGAGAGAGACTGAGGGAGCATAGTATAAAGAATAGTTTAGAATGGTCTGGGAGCTCACAGCAAGAACCCCAAGTTAGGAAGCACCTCCTGGCAGCCGTGCAGGGACTCTGGCTTGAGCTGTGAGTTTGCTTGGGTAAGTACCTGCTTCCCAGCTTGTCAGTTCTGTCGAGGGCTTGCTTGGTGCCTTCGGTTCCCTCTGCTGCCCTGGGTGGGCCTGGTGAGCAGGACCTGGGCACACTGGGGAGGCACTGGGGAAGAAAATGCTTTTTAAACAGAGGTCCAAGGTGACACTTCCCAGCCCTCAGGCCCCCTGTGGGCATGGCACAGCAAAGAACGCAAGCAAGGAGGGGCAAGGAATTCCAGGTTCCTGCGGTTCTGAGAGGGCCTGGGAGACAGTCTGCCTTGGCACCCTCTTATAGAATCTCTCTCTTCCCCAAATTTTTCAGTGCTGCCATGGTATCCCTGTTCTAGAAGCTACCAAGTGTCCAGATCCCATGGAGGGTCCCAGGAATACCATTGGGCCCTTCCAGGTTTTTCCTGCCAGGTCCTTTCTGCTTCTGCTTCCCTGGACATTGGCTTGGGGACGTGTCCACTGGCTGTCTGCCGATAACATCACACACTTGGAAGCTCTGTGGGGCAGGGCTTGAGCCACCCAGAAATCCAGGGCCATGACTGGCCTGTGTGGCAGGGGGTGAGAAAGCATGGTGGGTGACAGTTTCCTAAGGACAAGTAAGGCCAATGCTGTCCTGGCCACTTCCCTACCCACCTCTGGCACTCGCTCCTTCCGCTTCCTCTTCCTCCTCTCCTCCTACTTCTCTTTCCATGCAAAGGTCTACTTCCTGTCCCTTGATTATGCTAGGCTCATTCCCACCTCAAAGCTTTCTTCCAGTACCTTCCACCTGGAACACTGTCCCCTGCAGCTGATGCCTTCTTATAAGCAGGGCTCAGCTCAAATAATGGGATGTGCTTTTTATGGGATGTGGGTCTCCCAAACAGCAGCTTAACTTGCAGCACCACACTCGCCTGGTACCCCATCTCACGCCTTGTCACTCTAACTCATTAGCAGTTGCAGTTGTGACCATGGCTTGGCACACCCATGCTTTTTTCTGGCTTCATTTTCCGCTGTCTATAGGTTCTAGCAGGCCCCTGGTTATCTGCCTCAGCCACCTCTGTATCTTGGCCGCAAGATACAGACCCGAAGACAGGTCAACACCCATGGTCCTTTAGCATTCTACTAATTCTTGTCTGCATTTGCTGAGCTGTGTCTAACTGACCTTGAAAAATACAGACATAATTGACTTTTTCATGCCACTAAGCTCCATTTTTGCATTGTTTTGCCAGCCAACAGAAACCTAATGAGGGATTTGAGTCAGCAGGACTGTGTGACTCCTTGGTCTTGCAATCCTGGGCAAGCCACTCCCAGCCTCAGGGCCCTCATCTATGAAACGTGCAGGATCATACCAAGGCTTTGGATACACACGGAGGACCTGCTGGGACTGTGTGGGGGCTTGGGAGCTCTTAACAGACTGTGTTCAGGCATGTAGGCTGGGTGTGGGTCTTAGCTCTCCACTAACCTCATGGCTCTCCTCTTCCTCTTCCTTCTTCAGCAGGTGGGCCCAGGGTTTTGTCAGCGGTCCTTCGGCAGCCTGGGAAGATGCAATCACATGATGTGAGGTCACAAGAGAGCAATCCACTGTATATTCAAGGGTACACGGAGGGACAGGGATATTCCCAAGGGCATTTAGGAAGGAGCATCAGCTGCAGAGTTCAGTGCCCTGAGAGCAAGCCTGGCGACAGTGGTTGGCATGGATGCAGATCTTGCCCTGCAGGTGGGCAGACAGACTTCAAAGACTACCTCCAAAGACATGGCCCGAGCTGGTCACCTAGCTCCTTTGAATGCCAGTGGCCATAGTTCCAACCAGGCTTGTCCATTTAGGGGCTCCTGTGAGCACTGAAGGGTTTGAACTATGGACAAGGTTTTCAACGGGGAGTCAAGATCACGCTTCTGCAATAAGATGTGTGCTGAGGCCTGCAGCTCCCTGATGCACTGGTCCCACCTACTGCTTAGTCTCCAGCTGTCTGCTCAAAGCCCAAAGTAGCAGGTGCAAAGCCAAATGCTTTACAGGGACAGGCAAGTCCCTGGAACAAGTGAGGCAAGCCAGGGACAGGGCAACAAGGCAGCCAGAGCTTGCTGCTTATTCTCCTCTGTCCCTGGTCTCAAGGATCCAGGGTTTGCAAGGGAATCGGCCAAAGCCAGAGATAATAGCGGCCTGTGGGGCTTTCCAGAAGTGAGTGCAAGGTGAAAGAAGGTGCAAGAGATGGGAACCCTGGCAGGTCCTGAACAAGGCACACAAGGTCTGACGTCAGCGACACCCACAGTGCCTCTCCCTTGTCCCCATGGGCTCCGGCCACAGCTGCTCAGACCCTGTCTGCTCCCAGCCGAGCCAGTAACCTCCCTTCTCTCCCTGCCTGTGCACGCACCTGCAGTGGGCTGGCAGGGGACTCCGCCTTTCCGCCGAGCAGCGCCCTCCCCAGGGCTGCGTTCTCCACCTGGATGGCTCGCAGCACAGCCGAGGCATCCTCCTGCCTGTCCTCAACCTCCACCACGAGCTTGCGCATTGCAGACAGGGGTCTCTCTCGCCGGCTTGCAGGTCCTGAGTGGGAGTGGAGATGCGGGCATGCAGAGAACAGGAGGGTTGCACCTTTAGATTGTGTTCTTGGGGTACAGCTCACCATCTGTCACACCCGAAGGGAGACATCTTCTATGTGACAAGAGGCCGATATTCTCCCAAAATGTCAAGGTCGTGAAAGGCACGAAAAGCGGGGGAGAACTGTGGGTTCTGGTTCACAGGCGTGGCAAGGGAGCGTAAAGAGGACCCTGGGAAGGGGTGCTGGAGGAGTGGGGAGGAAGAAACAAATTGCAGCCAAGAACACTATTGTGGCATTTGAAGAAATCCGAATAGAGGCGGCACTTTAGATAACAGAACTCCATGAACGTTCAACACCCTGCATTTGCTAAGTATACTGTGGTGACGTAAAATGAGTGTCCTTGTTCACACGAGACGCACGCTGCAGTGCCCGGGAGTAAAAAGGCCCCGTGCCTGCAACTCAATCTCCAATAGCTCCATATGTAAAGGCACAGCAGCCTGCGTGTCCCCAGGACCTTCTTTGGACACCCAAGCGTACCCCAAAGCCCTTCTATAAAAGATTGCAGGATTTGCATGTACCCACACACCTCCTCTTGTGTATGTCTCATCATTATTGCTCAATCATTTGTAAAAAGTTGTTTATCACTGCTGACTCTACCGCAGTGAAGGCTGGGGTGCGGGAGGAGGCAGGGAGGGAGAGACGGTTGAGGACACCTGCCCTGGTGCTTGGCCTGCTGAGCAGACCTTGGTCAGAACCACATGTCGTGGGGTCGTTCAGGTTTTTGGTTGACATACTTGACACTGCTGTTACTGATATGCTGCATCATAATATAGTTCAAGCAGCAACAACAAGCTCGGCCCTGACAGGTGCCAGCAGCTGTGTGCTGCCCAGTTATCAGGGTTTCTGGTCGACACACAGGACACTCCCGTTACACATCTATGAGAGCATTGCATGGCAGTGGGAGTGCAAGTGGCAGTACCAATGACAGCACTGGCAGGTGCCGGCAGCTGTGCACAGAAGTAAAGATGAGCACTGGACGCCTTTATCCCACACTGTAATTCCTAAATGTGAGTCCTGCTTCTGCTTCTCATTCCAGGTTCCTGTTGATGCAGATCTCCTTGGGATGCAGCAGGTGATGGCTTCAGTACTTGGGTCCCTGCCGCCTGTGGGAGGCCAGGATTAAATTTTCTAGCTCCTCTGCTTCCAATCCAGCTTCCTGTCAATGGGCTCAGGGAACATAGCAGAGTATTGTCCAAGTGCTCGGGTCCCTGCCATCCACATGGGAGATCTGGATGGAGTTCCTGGCTCTGGCCCAGTGTAGCCCCTGTTGTTGTGGCTGTTGGATGAGTGACCTAGTGTATAGGAAATCTTGGTCTATGTCTTAAGCAAACAAACAAAAATTTTTAAATGGCATTGGTAGCAGAGGACAGGAAGCACACAGGGGCTTTCCTGGGCTGGCTTCCTAGGACAGCCAGGTCCTGGGAAGATGGGAACTACAGATCACACTAGATCTTCCTCACTCAATACAAGGAGGGATGGGATTCCTGCACTGGATGGGAGAATGGGAAAAATGGAAAGAGGGCAACTCAGGGTTATGTCTTTGAGCCACATCGGAACTGTGGTGCTAACATGCTCTGGCTCCAAGGCTCTCAGAAGCAGCCACGGACCAGCAGCCCATCTCTGCACCTGCAGCTGTGCCATGTGCATCCTCGGCCCAGTGAGCTGCCGCCGTAGGAGTGGGGGAACAGGTGGGACAGGCACACCTCTGGTCCTTTCAGGTGCAGAGCTGGTAAGTACCAGAGCTGATGCTGGTATGAGTGGTCAGGTAAGAATGTCTGAGGGTGGTGAGCCTGGGGAGATTCGCCTAGGGAGGGTTGAAGGAACAGCAGGTGCCGTGGCCCTGGGGTGAGCAAAAGAATGGCAAGGGGGCTGGAGCTGGGGAAGCAAGGAGCCAGGAGGGTGAACAAGGTAGGTGGTGAGGTGGTAGCCCCCAAGGCCAAGAAAGCCCTATAGTGTTCACTGCTTCATGAAGGCTCATCTTGTTCCCTGGCACTTTCCTGCCATCTGACATTCTAATTTCCATCAAGTGAATGGCTGGAAGATGGCATCAACCCCCACCCATGTACATGTCGGTGTTTGTGAACATCTCCGAAGCGTATCGCTTCCCCCATCCTCTGCGGGAAGGCACGGGCCTTACAGATGCTTCCAGAAGTAACAGGTAACGGCTCACCATCTGTGCCAGCACCCTGACATGCGGGGGCTCATGTACTGCTGTTGCTGGAAGGTTCTGTATCCATCTCCTGCACAGGGCACTTCGTTCATTCTGTTTTAAGATTTATTATTATTATTATTATTATTATTATTTTATTGGAAAGGCAGTTACAGAGAGGTGAGACAGAGAGAAAGATCTTCCGTCTGCTGGTTCACTCCCCAAATGGCTAAAACAGCTGAAGCTGAGCTGATCTGAAGTTAGGAGCCAGGAGCCTCCACTGGGTCTCCTACATGGGTGCAGGGTCCCAGGCCACAGGCAGGGAGCGGGATAGGAAGTAAAGCAGCTGGGACGCGAACTAGTGCCCGTATGAGATGACAGTGCTTCAAAGTTAGCCAGTTGAGCCATGGTGCCATGCACAGAGCCTTATAAAATAAGCCTGGGAGGAGCTGTGTGGGCCGCCCTTATCTCTCTCTCTTTTTTTTTTTTTTTGCCAGTTCATGTTCTTCGGTGGCCTGGGCTGGGGCTGGGATGGAGAAGGTGCCAGTAGGTCACCAAGGAAGCCGGCTGCGCAGCCAGGGGAAAGTGTGCTGGTGGCCGAGCAGCTCTTCCCCACTGTCTTCTTCCAGGGAGGCCCAGTTCTGCCTGCAAAACCCCATTCTATCTGCCAAGTGTCTTTCACGTGGCAGGAAACCAACGTGACTATCGGCAAGCGCTGCCTCTGCCCTTTGAGTCACATTATGCTAAGAAGATGCACTGAGAAAAAAAAAAATCAGATCACCCTTTCTGCCAGCCAAGGTCGGCTCGGCAGCTCCCCTCCCAGTAACGTCCCCACCCCCAGAAACGTCTGGTGCCCAGGACTGCCCACAGCCCATTTCTGCTGGCCACCCGGTGTTTTCCCTGCTGTTCCACACCTCCCCCCCGCCCCCATATGCCGGGCAACGACCTCCGAACTCTTGTTGATGCTCTCATCCCTCATGTGTTGATGCTCTCAGCCTCATGCAGGGCTGACCCGAATGCCAAGGGACGGTGGATTTACTCTGGTCATAGACCCAGAGGATGGTGAATTTATTCACCATGGTAAATGTGTGCCACCCGCAAAAGCCAAATTGGATGTTTTAATCTATCCCAAACTGCTCTTTCTCACTCGAGAGCCATCCTTCTTCCCACCACTCCACTCTCTTCCCATCTTTTTGCCAGTGCTTGCTTGCCTTTCTCCTCTCGCATGGAGGAATAAAATGTGTATCAATTTCTGGAGATTTACCATGAAGGCAACGCATGTCGCCAAGATGTGGGGCGGCCAGGCTGGGGGGGGAGGGTCGGCTCCTCTGGCCAGGTGATGTGCCCCAGTTCACCGGCTGTGACTCAGACAGCTCCTATTCATTCAGTCTGAGCAAAAAGAAAAAAAAAAATCACTCCTTACAACCCACGCCAGGGGCCCGGAGGTCCCTCGGGAGCCTTAAGTGGCAAACATTAAACCTGGAGACAGGAAGTGTTTATCACTGTGGTCATGGACCAGAAACCCCACTGGCTGAAACCTGCCTTGTAACTTTCTCCTCTTTAAATTGGAAATTGATGCCAAGGTGTTAAAAAAAAGAAGAAGAAGAAGGATGGAGGAGGGGGAATTCACTTGAAAACTGGGATTCCTGTTATCTCTTGAACAGTCACGCAACCTAGCAACCTAGGGCCCACACCCACATAGGGTAACCGTGGTGGACCCAGGTAGTGGTGCCCCCTTTAGATGGGGTAGGGGTGCTCCCGTTTCCACTGCATGTACTGCCCCTTGACTCCCTATCGGGGCTGATGGGCTTAGAGATTGTATGCCACACCTTGTGACAAAAGATCCATGGCAACAGCTGACTTAGTCGGGTCTGGTCTTGAGATGTCCACACTCACCCCTAAACCCAAGGGCACCCTGAGACAAGGACTTGTGCCCAAGTACCCCAAGCCTCCACGTACTCAAGATGGTGTGGCAGCCTCAAACCGTCGGCTTCCCCACAGCAGAAGATGGAGACAAATGACCCCAATGCCTCACAGCCCCGCCTGCGGCCATGCTGCAGTGTGCTGCTGCAGCATCTCCGGAATGTCACAGATGGAGCCTGTTCCCCCAGCTGCACTTGGCCTGGCAGCTTCCTTTGATTGTGACCTCGCAGTCTGAAAATGCACACACATGCATGCATGCTGGGGCTTATCTTTTATTGCTCGGAGACCGAAAGTGCTGGATGACAGGATCACACAAGTCACCCTGACTGAGGTCCCCAGGCCTGCCGGAAATATGCCAGAGGCCATCCTGGACCAGTTGAGCCAGTCACTAGCCAGCTCTCCCGCAGAGCTGTGGCCTCCAGCCCCCTATGCAATCATACAAGGGCTGCTATCTGAGGCCACTATGCTTGTAAATGGGACTGCGAGGCGGTGCTGGCTGACACACCTGGCTTGTCCAGGCCCGCGTGCTTCTCACCTCTAAAAGCATGTTTGGGGGCCTCGCCGGGGCAGGTTCTCTCGGCAGGCCTAGCGCTCCTCCTTCCACTGCCGCATGCACTTCACGCACGTGATTTTTCAAGGCAGGCTCTCAAGGCCCAAACTACCGACTCCTTCCTCTCCGACGTCCCGGTGCTCGGCGGTCCCACACCCTGTCTCTGTGGAATCTGTGGTATCTGTTCTGTGTAGTTGACTTTTATAGGAAACCAACAGCAGGCGCTGCTGTCTTCCAGGCACAGTGACCTTCACAGCACCTGCGGTTTCTTTGAGGAAAATACCCTTTGCCTGCCACTCTGCCTTTTGGGTCAATTTGACCTTGCTGCTGAGTGGCCCTGCATGGAGTGAGAGTGTGTGTGTGTGTGTGTGTGTGTGTGTGTGTGTGTGTGTGTGTGTGTAATCTGACCCGACTCCTGATCCAGATGGATTATTCAGTCTGGAGGCAGTTCAGGGATGAGCTGGTTCTTGGATCTGCACTGGGCCTATTGGGAAGGTGGCAGTCTCTCTCCTCCAGGGGTTGCAAACAAAGCTGATGAAACGGAGTCTTGAACCCTATGGGGTGTGGGTGGGTGTCTCCTGGGCAGGGGTGAAATGCCCGCCTGGTAGTGATCAGGAGTGTGGTTCTCAGTCTCTGGACCAGTGATATCAGCATCCCTTGGGAACTCTGTTAGTTCAAAACTGCTTAGCCCCTGCCCCGGCCCTCCGGGACTTGGGCCTACCCACCTGTGCTGTAATTGGCTTCCTAAGTAATTCTGATGCCCATTCAAGTTTGAGAACAACTGGGCCAGGGGAAACAGAGCTAAGTGAGGGTGATACAGTTTCTCAGTGACCACAGTGGAGCACATGGATCCCTCCCTGCAAGGCCTAAGCCAGGGGGCACAGCTACCATCCTAGACTGGTTAGGCCTGCGGGCATTAAGACATCTTCCTCTGCTGCTATTTGAGTTCCCATCATATGCCACTAGAGAAACACTGCCTGTTAGGCTAGGAGACTGCACTTGGGCCGCACAGGCTTTCTTCTGCAGGTTTTCCTGGCAGGAGCACTAACCTACAAGGCTGTCATGTTCACTAATTCACTCACCCTGAGGGGTGTTACTTTCTTTCTAGGGTTGGCAGCTTGTCTGGGAGAAGTGGTTCCCATAGATCACCTTGCCGGAGCGCTCTGACAATCTGGGCAGTCAACCTTCCGCGTTAAAGACTCCTGTGCTTTCTGCCTCAAGGAGACAGCGGTCTCGGGGAAGGAGATCATATTTGCTCCTTGAGAAGCTTCTGGGTTGACAGTAGATTCGCATGGGCCAAAGGGGCCTTTACCACAAGCAGGGGTAATTACAGTGACAGACAGGAAGAAGGCCTGTTGTGGAGTTACATCACCTGTGCACATCTAATTGCCATCAGTTCAATTTTATGAACTTGTCAGAAGACCTCTCAAAGGTGCAAGGGAACAGGTACGCTTCTGGAAGGGCAGACAAGCTCATTTGGCCCAACCTTTCCCCAGAGTGCAACCTCAGGACAACTGGTTTGAAAACAAAAAAAAAAAAAAAAAAGAAAGAAACTCTGGGGTTCAGTATTGTGGCATAACAGGTTACACCGCTTGGTCGATGATACTGCCATCCTGGTTTTGAGTGCTGGTTCGAGTCCTGGCTGCTCACCTGCTGATCCAGTTCCTTGCTACTGTGCCTGGGAAGGCAGGAGTGGTTGGCCTAAGTGTTTGGGCCCTTGGCACCCAAGGGGGAGACCCAGCTGTTGCAGGTATTTCGGGAGTAAACCAGGGGATGGAGGATTTCTTTCTCTTTTTGTCACTCTGCCCAATAAATAAGACAGATAGGGCAATGAAGAATTACAGGGCCAAAAGGAGGCAGGAAAGAGGCAAGCCGTGGAGGTGGGATGATGTCTGGAAGGCTTTTCCCGCTGAGACACAGCTGCTCCTGACAAGACTTCCCGTGCCTTGGGAAGCTGAGCAGGGCTGGTGACACACGCAGGGACGGCAGACTGTGACAGGGAAATGGCCAGGACTGAAGGATCTGGAAATGGCAACACCATGAGTGAACTCAAATTTTACCAATTTGGCAAAAAAAAAAAAAAAGTAAGAAGAATGTCTAGTGGGTTTAAAACCTAGAGAATGGAAACGCCTGGCAATAGCATTTAAATTGGGAGGGGGTAAGTAAACAGAGTTGTAAGGTCCTTCCATGGAATAGGAATAGGAAATGGTAATCTTGCTAATTTAAAGCAGACGCTAATAAGTCAAGAATGCCTGCTGCAATCTCTGGTAATGACTAGAAGAATAATAAAGGAATTTATAACTAACAATGTAACAAGGAGGGAAAAAAATAACAGAGCAATCAGTTAACAGGAAGGCAAGAAAGGAGAAAAGGGGAACATAAAACAGGCAGAACAAATAAAAAGCAAATCACGAGGTAGCAGATTTAAACACAAATATGTCAGCGGTTACATTAAACATAAATGGACTAAATGCTCCCATTAAAGCACACAGACTGTTAAAGGATAAAAATAAAATACAATTGCATCCTGCTCACAAGGCACAAACCTGAATATCAAGACGCAGAGAAAAAAAAAGTTTGAAAGCACAGGGATGAATAAGAGATACACCACCTCACCACTAACCAAAATGAAAATGCAACCTCTACTGTATCAGATTCTAAGGTGAAATAGAGACAATTCGTGATGATGCCAAGTTCAATTCACTAGGAACACATAAGAAGTCTAATTAAAAAAAAAAAAGATTTATTTATCTGTTTGAAAGGCAGAGAGAGAGAAAGAAATCTTGCAACTGCTGGATCAGTACTCAAATGGCAACAACAGTGGGGACTGAGCCAGGCTGAAGCCAAGAGTCAGGAACTTCCATTGCCTTCCCAGGTGCATGAGCAGGTAGCTGGATTGGAAGTGGAGCAGAAGGGACTAGAACTGGCACTCCTACAGGACGCTGGCATAGGAAGGCACGAGGAGCCCAAGCACTTGGACTACCCTCCACTGCTTTCCCAGGTGCATTAGCAGTGACCCAAGTTGGAAGTGGAGCAGCTGACACTTGAACCTGTGTCCCTAGGGGATGCTAGTGCAGAAGGTAGAGTCTAGAAGAAAGGGTTCTATGGCTCCAAGGAAAGTTGAAGGCCCTGGCCTTGCCTTTGCCCTCTCATTGACTGACATGGGACTACAGTGGAGCCACATGTCACCCAAATATTAAGCTAGATAGGCAGCAGCAGGAGTGCAGGGGCCAAAACTACCCTCAGAAATTCTCCACATTGGCCGTTTTGTGCAGCGCGTGTGGCTGTGTAGGTGGCTCCAAGATCAGCTCTCAGGAAGCTTGATGGAGTGCATGTGGTGAAAATCACAACTTTCAGGGGAGCCTCTGGGTGAAGCAACTGGGCTTCACCGATCTAGGTTTGGGGGACAAGTGGTAGAGATTGTGCACAGGCAGCTTTTTGAGCGCTCTGAGCCCTGAGGCACAGAGAACATGAGATTACCCATGAGAACCATGGGATTACTAGCCGGCTCACCCTGCTTGCTGACCTCCCCTGAGATTTGTCGTGCCAATCTGCACAACTGCCTCAGTACCCATTCCCAATCATAACCCTGTCTCTCTCTCTCTGAGTGTATACATGCATATCCTTTCGGTTTGGATTGTCTGCAGAACTCTGGCTAACACATTAGCTACAGGGCATGGTTCAGTCCCTGCTCCCTTACCCAGGGTGCCCCAATCTCTTACTTGAGCACACTCTCTCCTGGTCCAGGCCCACGGCAGCAGCCTGGGGGTTCAGGTTTGGCTCAGGTTTGCTGGGGACGAAGACCTCAGCGTTGTCCTTCCTTTTGGCTGACAGATTCCTTTCCGTTCTGTGACCTGCAGGAAGAGAATTATGTCTCCGTCAGACCCTGAGCCTGGCTAGAGCGGAGTTTTCTGGGCAGGACTTGGTACATCACTTATGCATGTATTCGTTCACCAAATATTGACTGAGCACCTGTGTGCCAGGTACCTTGCTGGTAAGGGATTAGAGACGTGAATAATGCAGGCGACAAAACAAGCTGCTGAGAGCCCAGCCCCACCCCCGTTATGGCAAGGAAAGGAGATAGCCCAGGGCACAGCCAGCTTTTTTCAGATGTTCTACTTCTGAGTAGACCAATCATACAGCCTGCAGGATTCATGATGGTGTGGTCCCTGGAGGTTACCAAGGATGTCGTGCACCTGCTGGCCTCCAGGAGCTCACGGCCTACAGTGGGGAGAGGGGTCGGGGCGAGCCGTGGGGAGTGCTGGGGGGATAGGGCCGGTGAGTGGGGCAGACAGGGCAGCGCAGGTGAACATGCTCCAGAGGCTGTTTCTCCCCCCTGCTCAGCATTTCAAGCAGAAGGTTCCAGGACCACTGCTGGCCAAGAGGCAAGGCAGGGTGATATTTTAAAGCACTTGTGCATGTTAATATGTAACCAGAATGTCAGCTAGCTGATGTTCTGAGTGCTGCTGCTCAGAATCACCCTAGCCAGCAGTCAGGGCACGTATTTTGGTGCAGTGCGTTCAGCTGCTGTTTGCAACTTTTGCATCCCCAATCCAAGTGCCGGTTCAAGTGTTGGAACCTTTGCTTCCTCTCCAGCCAGCTCCTTGCTAACATGTCCCAGAAGGCGGTGAAGATAAGCCGAGTATTTGGAGCCCTGTCAGCTACATGAGAGACCTGGATGGAGCTCGTGGTTCCTGGCTTCGGCCTGATCCCATCCCACTGATGGCGCCATCTGGGGAGTGAGCCAGTCGATAGGGGATCTCTTGCTCTGTCTCCCACCACCATCCTTTGTCTTTCAAGGGAGCAAACGGATCTTTAAAAATCAATGAACAAAAAAAGAAAAGAGAAAGGGGAGAGGAGAAGCAAGAGAGAGTAGGGAGAAAAGGCAGAAGCAAGAAGACATGTTGAAATGAGTTACCCAGGGGGACACCAGGCCCCTGGGCTGCTGGCTGCTCCTTGGAGTTGGAACTTGGCTGCTGCCAGGGCTCCAAGGGCCAGCTGGAGGCTGCAGGTGGAACGGACAGAAGATGGTGGCAGCAGAAGGCCAGCACAGCCCCCCTCAGTGCGCATTCACAGATGACCCGATGGTCACTGCCCATGGCAGGCATCGCTGTGGTCCACACGGGCCCTGCCGAGCCATCTAACGGTAAAAGACATAAAATGTCAAAAGATATGGCTCCCTCTTTTCACTTCATGCCTCTGTGATGCTCTCAAACTGGGCCTGCTGTCAGTTTTCCTTCTGCAGCCAGGTCCTGCACGCCCAGAAATGACTGCCAGGGTGCTTCTCCTGCCCACCCCACCGCTGGCACACAAGAGTATTAACAGGTGGGCATGACACACCTCTAGCAGACTGGGGTATAAGCCACATGCTGGGAGTGCCATGCAGTGCAAGAGCTGGGTTGTGGAGACGGGCATCTGGCACCGTGGCTAAGCAGCCTTGGGAAGCCTGAATCCCATGCCACAGTGCCTGGGTTCGAGTCCTGGCTCCACTTGCAAGTTCAATTTCCTGCTCAGGCCATCCTGGGAGACAGCAGGTAATGGCTCAAGAAACTGCGTCTCTGCCACCTACATGGTAAGACTTCTATTGAAGTCCAGGCTCCTGGCCTTGGCTGGGCCCAGCCAGGACTGTTGTGGACATTTGAGGAGCAAACTGCAAATGGAAGATATCTGTCTTTCTGTTTCTCTGTCTTTCAAATAAAATGAAAATAAAGAAATAAGTCTTGATTTAAATATATATATAGAAAAGAACCAGCCTGTGCACTGGCAGGGCCTCAGGAGCCATCTCTTGTCGACACCTCCAGCTCAGCCCTTCCAGCCTTCCAGCCTTGTGTGGACTGGTGTGATGGCCCCCAGGAGACCAGCATGCAGCCTGGTTTTACACATGCACTGCTGTCTCCTTCCTTGGCTTCACTCTGGTTCAGGAAAAGCTGGTCCCCCTCAGTTGGCACACCTAGCCTGGAGGTGGTGCTGGGAGTGAGAAAATGGAACAGGCCCAGTCCACTTTGGTCAACGCCTGAGGCTAGGGAACTGAGCCCGTTTGAAGCAGCCCTCTCTCTGCCTCTTGAGCTGTCTCTCCCACTCATGGCTCTGAGTTGCAGTGCAAAGCCCCCTGCTGTGGACAGCTGCTCCAGTCTTCACCTTGGCTCCACCACCAGTCCTTGTGGTTGGCCGGTGACAGCCACAGCCCTGAGCGCTGTTCCCTGAAGCCCTGTCCATCAGGGATGCATGCAATGACTACTCAGAGACAACAGTGCATGACCCAGTGTGGGTGCCAGAGCCATGCCTGGGGCTGCTTTGTGCTGGAGTTTTTAGGAGAGAAAAAGTCCACTTTTTGGTGGGATTGTGGAGCTAAGGTCTCCTTAAAAGAGGCCATACCACTGCATGTTGGAAAGGCTGCCTGGGAACGCAGCCAACACAGAGGGAGAAGGGCAAGAAGAAAGAAGGCAGGGGAAGAGAACAGAAATGAGCCCTATTCTTCAAGGCCAGTGATGGTCTCTGAGGCACATGTGGTTCCTGCATTAGCCAATTGGAAAGCGGACACAGCTACGCTGCCCACAAGGCTTAGGGTGCCCAGACACCTACTGCCTTGAGCTTCAGGTGCCCTGGGAAGCATCTGAAAGTCATGCTTTTGTAACCCACAGAGCGAGATCTGATGGGCACATCTCGCGGACTGAACTTGAATTCAAAATGGCACCATGATGCAAAGTCTTTCTGCGCCAGCCAGTGATACCCACTGCGAAAAGTTGCCAATCCTCTCACTCCAGCCCCGATCAGAACTCACTTTTGGAAGTAGGATTGAATTCCAGCACCACCAGGGTGTCGGGGCCCTGGGGAGGGCGTCCCTCGCTCTGCTGGTCCTCGAGGGCATCCTTCTGGGCTGCATCCCCAGCGGAGAGAGGAGAGTCGTCTCCGGGAGGACCCTCAGGCTCAAGCTCAGAGGGGACATCTTCTTCGATAGAATCATCACTTTCTTCGTCACTGCTGGGACAACCCTTGTGCCTTCTCTGTGTGCTAAGGTCCAGGCTGCTTCTCAGCTCCTGCCAAAAGCCAGGAAGAGGTACGTAAGGCATGTGGGAAACGTTCATGGCAAAGGCATCTGAAGCAAAGACACTCTTTCTGCCACATCTGCGTCTCCCAAGATCACCACAACCTCTACATTGGGGCTGTTTCAAGGAGGAAAAACTCAAGGATGGCAAAAGCCCAGAAACTCTGAACAGAGCTGTATTCGCAGTGGTAGCGATGTTGTGTGTCTGTGTGTGGGGGAGAGGCTGTACACTCCTGGGGCTTGTTTGTGTTTTTTTAAGATTTATTTTTTTTTTTATTGCAAAGTCAGATATAGAGAGGAGGATCTTCTGTCCAATGATTCACTCCCCAAGAGACAGCAACAGCCGGAGCTGCACTGATCTGAAGCCAGGAGCCAAGAACTTCCTCCAGGTCTCTCAAGTGGGTACAGGGTTCCAAGGCTTTGGGCCGAACTCAACTGCTTTCCCAGGCCACAAGCAGGGAGCTGGATGGGAAGTGGAGCTGCCGGGATTAGAAACGGTGCCTATATGGGATCCTGATGCGGTCAAAGCGAGGACTTTAGCTGCTAGGTCACCATGCTGCGCCCATGGGGCTTGTTGAAACAGATCATGGAAGCCGCTGGCCTCGGGGCACCAGTTGCTACTGATGCTTGAGATACCTGCATCCACACTGGAGTGCCTGATTTGAGTCCTTGTCTCTGATTCAGCTTCCTGCTAACGTGCACTCTGAGAAGCAGCAGGTGATGGCTCAAGTCCTTGGGTCCTTGTCACCCACGTTGGGAGACCCAGATGGAGTTCTGGGTTCCTGGATTCGGACTGGCTTAGCCCTGGCTGTTGTAGGCATCTGTGGAGCGAACCAGTGGATGGAAGATTTCTCTGTGCCTCTCTGGCTTCCAAATACAATCTAAACATGTGCACAAACATACCTAACTGCACATGAGAGCAGACTGTGGAGATTTACCAAAAACCTCGCTGATTTTCTCACTTAGTGGGTCAGGGATGAGACCTGAGAACTTGCATTTCTAAGAGGATGCCCACGCTGCTGGTCAAAGAACCCAATCATTCATACCCAGCTCCGGCTACGAAATCCCAGAAGCCTCCAAATGACCTTGCAAGTCCAGATGCTGATATGCCTGGCAGAGATTGCCCCGTATCTCATAGGATACTTAGCAGCACCTAAATGTCATAACATTTAGTACTGGACTGCAACTGCCATTTTTTCCCCACGTTTCTTTTGTCTCCTTGGGATTACAGGCCATGCAGTAAGATCTATGCTTCCAGACTCCAATATGAACTCCTGGATAAAAAAGCTTGTGTTCCTTCTGTCTTTCTCAGACTACAGGTTAAGCATTAAGATCTACACTTAGAGTGACCAGAAAATGAAGTATCTGAACCAGGACATTTCTGTGAAAGGTGGGGAGGGGGTGGGAGTGGGGAATGAAAAGGGGATATGGTTATATTTATCCTGAGATGAAGAAAGTATAAACTGAACCGTGAAGGCAAGCCAGTGCGTGAAGCTGACCAGGCTATACTTGCCCCAGAGCTCTTGTAGTATCTGACATAGTTCTGGAAATAAGAAAAGCAATCGGTAAAGGGCTTGGTGACTGACCAACTAGACCTTCACAGCCACGCTAGGCTGAATACGGTAGATTGCCCATGTTCCAATCTCTAGAACCTGTGATTCAGTGAAGTCTTAGCTGCAAGAGAACTCCACAGAGAACACCTTGAACATGTCAAATAAATCATTCTAAAAAGATGACTGAGACGTACAGATGCTACAGGTGCCACAGGAAATGTCTCCAGCTCAAACCAGCAGGGAGGGAACCCCGCCAGGCAGCAGCAATGCCTTCACTGGACTGTGCCCTGGAGTGACATGCTGAGCAGACTTGTAAAGGCTGAACTTGGAGATGGACTCAGCAGGTTCCTATGCAAGGAGCGGACTGTATGCTCTTGTTGCTTCCTGCTGCGTGGAAGGTAGAGAGAGATGGAGGGAGGAACCACTTTAAGTGAAAAGGAACTCGGATTTGATGATCTGGGAGAGTCTCAGCTTGTCTAGTCTGCAACAAGACACTATAAATAGGAAGTTCACTGTCAGGAAAGTATGCTCTGGGACAGAAAACCAAGATGGTGGCTGGACGACCCTTGGCTAGAAGCTCAGACAGGGTCAAAATTCAGAGGATTCAGCTGCACAAACAGGGCTCTTTTCAAAGAGATTGGACCAGGGACCATGGATTCTCTTACATATCATAGCAAGCGGCAGATCACTCCCTCAGAGATTGCTGGAGCACTGAACCTGAGGTGCGTATGCATCGCGTGGCCTGCTGGGAATGTCACACTGGCAGGAACGCTGCCAGCTCGGACTATGTAGAGAAAGAAAGTAAGAAGGCAAAGATGGCTGACTCCCTCAGATTCTACAGGCAAGGAAACGGGCCGACCACACTGCTCACAGGCAAACCCTCGGTGTCTCTCTGTAAAAGGCAGTGTAAAATCTCTGAGAATTACTCCCAGGCACTGAAACTTTCTGGAACTTTCCAGTTGGATTTTGACATTCTTAGGTTTGGTGATTCCTTCTCATTTTTTTTTTTTCCTACCTCCTTCACCCTCTTTTAGTGGCAATGCCTATTTCTGTCATCCTGTGCCTGGCCCACCACGACATCTGGGAGTGAATGACTTATTTTCCAATGGCATGGGCCCACAGATGAAGTAGAATACGGTCCCAACATACAGTACATCAACAACTCACTGAGATGATGTGAGCTGGGGATTCTGAGCCGATAAGACCAAGATGATATTAGTACTCAAGTTGAGAGTTGGGCCTGGTGATGGGATGGATGTGGTTTGCAAGTGAGTAGGGAGTGAATCTCTGTGGGATAGCAGGTGGGCTGTGATAGGCTGATCAAACAGTCCCCAAATATTCTACATCCTCCACTCCAGGACCTGGCAGTATGTCACAACACAAGGCAAGGGGGACTTGGTAGGTTAAATTATCCTCCCTCCCTCCCCAACCCAACCCCCACCTGCCAAAAAGGATTTATTTATTTGAAAGAGAGAGACCTTCCATCTGCTGGTTTACTTCTCAAACATCTGCAGCATCCAGGACTGGGGCAGGCGGAACCCTAGTGGACAGGTGGGGGAGTGGACACGAAGTCACCAGGACTCTCAATCCCACTGTGAGCTGGGCAGGCTTCCTCTGGCTGACTCATTACCTTTACAAAGTTGAAACCCCATGTTTCAGCAACTAAAGTTTTGGGGCCCCCAAAATTCGAGGAACTGAGACCATGTGCCTTCAAGGTGATCCTGCTTCTTCCAGTGAGTAAGCAGCACAAGAGTGATCTCTCAGCCACTGTACCTTGCTCACTCTAGAGTACACAGGCACATCCTCTTTTATACCAGCTTGACTCCACCAGCGGGAGGGCGGCCTACACATGCACCCGTGCTAAGGGCTGAACTAACAGTGGGGGGCAGGGAGAGGGAGACTGCCAAGCTTCTGCCCTGCCTGGAGCCTCAGTGTGTGTGTGTGTGTGTGTGTGTGTGTGTGTGTGTGTGTGTGTGGTTAGAGTAGGATAGTGGGGGGCAGGGAATACTCACAAGGCAGTGCAAAAAGAAAAATGAATGGAGCATCCAAATGCGGCCAGGACTGGGAGAGCCTGAGACTGGGCTATCTGCAGTAGAGGCTAGTAGGGATGCCTTGGGGAGGAAGAGGGCACATGTGCTATACCAGGATGGCAGGCAGAGGGAGGGCACAGGCGTGCTGGCCCTGTGCAGCAACCAGGCTTCGACTGTATGCACGGTGAGAGGAGTGCTGAGCAGAGTCAACATGAGGCGATTTCTGTTTCCCAGAGATCCTATGGCTCTGGGCTACCAAGTGGGTGGGTGAGAACCAGGGAAGGGCCGTGTGGCTGTGGTGACAGCATTTGCTCTGGGAGAAATGAACACTGTGGAGGCAGGTATTTGGGGGGTGGCAGCTGGGATCCCCCTAGCCCACACTGGAACCTCGGAGCAAGATGATCACTCTTGGCTCCAGACCCCAGCTTCCCGCTTTCGCAGTGGTGTTGGTTTAAACAGTTGGGTCCTCATCGCCCATGTGGGAAATGGGGATTGAGTTCCTGGCTTCAGGTTGGCCCAGACTTGACCACTGTGGGCATCTGGGGAATGACACAACCACACAATCAGTGAACAGAAGCTTCCTTTCTGTCTCTCAAATACAGAAATCACATACACACACACACACACACAAAATTAACACCATGCATACCTTTGACCTAACCATTCTAGGAATTTATCCTTTAGTCTTCAACGTGTAAAGATCATCCTTTATAGGCAAGAATAATCCAAACGTTTATCAATAAATGGATTAAACAACAAATAGCAAGGACATCCAAGGATCCCCAGGCAGCTCTTACAAAGAATGAGACAGAACTTGTGGGCTGTCATGGATCAATATCAAGAAAGAAGCAAAAAAAAAAGCATACTGGAAAAACGCACATGTAGTATCAACTCAACTTGGATAACTTTAGATTCTAAACTCATATGCATGCATATGTACATGGCAAGAAGTCTGGAGGGGTGGCTTGGTGGCACATCAGGCTAATCCTCTGCCTGTGGCGTCAGTGTCCCATATAGGCAGTGGTTCATATATCAGCTGTTCCATCTAGCTCTGTGCTTATGATCTGGGAAAACAGCGGATGATGGTTCAGGTCCTTGGGCTCTTCCTACCCATATGGGTGACCTTCTGGATATGCCATCCAGGTCTCCCACGTGGCTGGGACAGGCCCAAGCACTTGAGCCACCTTATTCTGCTTTCCTAGGCACATTAGCTGACAGCTGCATCAGAAGTGGAGGAGCCATGGCCTGAACCAGTGCCTGGATGTGGGATGCCAGCAATGGCTTATGTCCCTGTGCTACGTCGTTGGCCCCAACTTGTGCAAGCTATAGAAGCACCCGATTTATGCCAGCAGAGAACAGGCAGTGCGCATGCCTCCTGGATGCCTTTCCCATGAAGAGTCAGCCTTGCC